AAAGACATAATGTGAAATTCACTGAATATGAAAATAAGAAACATTTATAGCTTTATTTATATTCCAATATCAAATACATCATTAACTTTTACACTAGGAGGAGATATTTAAAAGAAGGTATTCAATTTGCCCCCACATCTCATTAATCATATCAGCTTTCCATAGTCTTTGTGATTTGTTCTGTCACAATTGTTTATTAAGGCATATTACTGTTTTGTAGAAAACTGAATATACTTACTTTAACTAAAGCAAATAGATTTTATTTAACTGGTGATCCTGGAATACCTCCTTTAATGCACTTGATGGCACTTGAACCTAAACTTACTTAAAACACACACACACACACACACACACACACACACAGTTGAGCATCAACACATGAACAAGGAGGTCACAGTTCGATTCCTGGACAGGGTACATGCCCAGGTTGGGGGCTGGATCTCCAGTATGGGGCTTGCAGGAGGCAGTCGATCTATGATTCTCTCTCATCATTGATGTTTCTCGCTCTCTCCCTTGCCCTTCCTCTCTCTGAAGTCAATTAAAAAACACACACATTAAAATAATAAAGCCCAAGAAGTACTGGTATTTCTTTAAACGTTGGTTCTCTTGTTTATACGTAAAGTCAGTAACTTACTGTTAAGATGTGTTCTTCAGCTTTGGCTTGCTTGGTGGCCCCGCCGACACCTGGGGAGGCTGTTAGACCCAGGATCTGAGGTAGAGGCATCACTGGTTTGTTTTCTTTCCTGAGCTTATTGTTTTTCAACTTCTGTTTCAAATAACGCCTCATGATGTTATTATAGACTGCTTCTTTGTTGGTGTGGTGGCATTCATCAATGATGATGAGGGAAAAGTCTTAAAAGAAAATTCAAATGGTTCATTTGTCCATACCAACAAGGCACAATAAAGAAAAACAAACAAACAAAAACCCCACTAAGTTTATTGTCCAAAATTCTCAAGATTATGCTTTTGTTCTTGAATATAATGTCTAATTTTAAGTGGGTGAATCTTGCATTTATTATGTCAAATTAAAACTACTCTATTCAAAGAGGGAAATTTTTGGCATGTTTTACCATTGCATTTAATTATTGTGAGTATTTGTACGTATTTCCCTTCCTCTCTCACCTTCTCTTCTAATTCCTCACAAAAAAGAAAAGATTATATATCTGTTCTGTGGAGCAGAAGGCAAATCTAACAGGATACACTAGCATATAAAAAGAACTTGTCAGTGCCTAGAATTAAGAAGTAAATTGAAAGTATAGTGGTTATTTGATGTAATAATGATATTCTTATGCAGAACAGTGATCTAATTAAAAACTTTTCAATTTTTTTGTTTCCACAAAGAAGTAAAAGGGTTTTAATGAAAACTTAATGAATAAAAGATGATATAAACTGAAGTTAATCTTTTTAAATCAACATTTACACAGCCTCTATTACTACCATTAATGTTAATACTAATTACTATTAATTAATTTTTCCAAAATAAATACTTCAACCAACCTGACAACTGGACACCATCATCTTCTCCTTTTTCTGAGTTTAAAAGGGAGTTTTCAAGGATTTGAGCTGTACTGATAATAATGTCATAGGATTTGACAAATTTTGGAAATGATATTTTCATTTGGGTATCTCCACTTACTCTCGTAATGCAATACCATTTCTTCAAAAATTTTTGAAACTCTTTACGGAAGAGCTGTTCAACTAGTGGTACCTTTAAAAATGCCAAAAGTAAAACAGAGAGATTTGTCAAAGCAAAAGGAGTATTGATCAAAGGCCTACTATGTGTTAAGCATTAACAAAGGTGTTTACATTATCAGTTAATTAGACATAACAACCTATTCATCATTCCATTCATTCATCTGTTAATAAGCAATTATTGAGTGCCTGTTCGGTGTAGACATTGTGTCTGGGACACAACGATATTGTGTCTGAGTTCACAACTTTCAGGAACTCAGTCTACCTGAGTGCACCGACCAAGACTGAAAATGAAACAAATTAATATAACACCATGTAATAATTCTCTGATGGAAAGACATTCAAAGTGACAACAATGAGAAAGAAGTAATCGACTGCTCAAAAGAAGGGCTTAGACAGAATTTTAATCTTGTAACCCATGGGTCAGTGAAGATATAAATTAAAACTGAGGCTGGATAAGAAATAAATTTTGAATTGATGGAGAAGGACCAGGCTAAAAAGGGCTGTGAACACCAAGCAGAGTATTTTAAATTTACATAACAGTTTACAGAACCTTTATGAGCTGTGTTACATTTAGGGTTGATTTATTACAGTTGTTTGGGGATCAGGCAGAGGCAACATGCCTGAAGAACTGGAGCAGGGAGGGAAAGTGAGAAGGTAAGGCGTCGCCTAGGAGAGTGTCGCCTAGGAGAGTGGATGTGAAGTGAAGAATGAACTGCTGGAATAGCTTTGGTGGCTGAGAAAGAACAAAACAACGAAGAGATTTGGCACAAAAGGTGCAACTCTTTCAGAGACAACTGGCATTGTCTAGTGAGAGTGTGTTGGCTTTGAGGTGACTTGACCTGGTTGGTAATTTACAGTATCTTCTCCTTTACTAACACGTCAGAAGGCAATCCTCTGAAGACCTTGAGCTGCAAGGCCATCAACATGGAACCCAGTGATGCCATGGATAATTTGAGGGCCAGCGCCAGGATAAAGAAGGCATCCCTGTCCTGGCCAACAGAGCTCATCTTTGCAGGCCAGAAGCTGGAAGATGGTCTCACTCTTTAAGACTACAGCCTCCAGAGTCAACCCTGTATCTGCACCTCTGTCTGAGGAGTGGCTGTATTCTTATGATAAAGTAAGCTAAAGAAAATGTTAATAAGAAAATCATAAGAAAGAGAAATAGATTTATAATATTTACTGAAAAAAATCTATGTATAAGTGGACTCATGCAGTTCAGCCTCATATTCTTCAAGGGTCAACTGTATTTTTTTCATTCCATTAATGCAAGATAGAGGTGATAATCTAAGAAGGAAGTATCCTGAGGAAGAGACTAGGGATTAAATTTAATGAAAAGAAAGTGCAATCCATAGGAAAGAAAGTCAGCTCTGAAAACAACTACCGCAGCTACTTGCTTATTATGTGATCTTGGACAAGTTACTTAATCATCTCAATTTCCGCACTAATAAAGTGGGGATAATATTAACCAGTGGTGAGGTCATTGTGAAAAATCAAATGAAATAACAGCTGACATATTACTGGTACTCAGAAAAAAAAAAAAACAACTTTCCTGTGAGCATGGTGGAAAGAGACCAGTTGACTTCAGAAGAAAAAGGTTCAAGTCTCAGATCTGCTGATAATTGGCTGGATGATCCCTGGGGCTAATTAAAGCCTCTGAATCTCAGTTTTCTGATGGGAAAAAAGGGGATCATTATACTTACTTCAAAAAAATAGCCAGGTGGTTTTAAGGAGATAATATAAAGTACAATACCGTATTATTATATTATTAATATATATCTTTCATTTCCTACACTGTAGATTCCTTGGAGACATGATCTGTATTTCATTTGTCTTTATTTTTTAAAATATATTTTTATTGATTTCATAGAGAAAGGGAGATAGAGAGAGAGATAGAAACATCAATGATGAGAGAGAATCATTGATCAGCTGCCTCCTGCATGCCCCACACTGGGGACTGAACCCACAACCCAGGCATGTGCCCTGACCGGGAATTGAACTGTAACCTGCTGCTTCATAGGTTGATGCTCAATCATGGAGTCACACCAGCTGGACTCATTTGTCCTTAAAAACCCTCATGCTACCAAGAAATTTAAGATTCTTTATTCCATGAAATGACATAGAGAACTGAGATTCTGTCCATAAAAGGGTGAGTCAAAGAATCGGCATCTTCTCATCTACAGAACAAAAAGAAGCTGTCACAGGAGGAAGCAGGTGTTGGAAATCCTGATACTCACTCTGGTTGGCAACGACTTCCTGTTGAAGGACAAGAGAAAGCCAGATGCAAGTCTGACATGGCTAATTGGGAGATGTGTGGTCCTTTTGGAGCCTGTTCCTGAGATGTGACAGAGTGCCTGCCAAGGCTAATCAAACCCAACTGCTACCCACTTCTGCTGAATCATATGGGCTGCATCACGGCATCTGAAGGAACCTGGGTTTATCTCCCATGATGTGGAAGCCCTAGATAGGAAATAGAAAGTCTGGAAACACAGGTGGTGTTTTCATTTCTCCCTGCATTTGAAGGCGATAACTTTGGAAAGGATGGAGAAAGGAAGATGAAAGTAAATGGTATTAGGGAACAGGATTTTTCCTTTCTAGATCAAGGATTATAATACCTTGTTCTTGGGCCAAATACAGAATGCAGGTTAGGTTGACTAACTGGGCCACAGATTTCCTGACTCAATAAAAAATAATTAAAATTACATTACATTAAAATTCAAAGAAATTGGATAATAAAGGAAAACATTATGACATAGATGAAAGAACTAATGGAGGAATTTCTAGTAATTCTTAAGGAAAAGCAGTAGGGAAACAGGAATTAGAGTCACATCCTTAAATATCTACAGAACAGTGCAATTGGATATGAATAATTAATGATGATAATTTAACATTTAAACATGACTACAAATTTGATTTCATATGAATCTCCTAGATCCAGTGGGATGAAAGATTTGTAACAAGAACTTAGCACTGAGAGGACAAGTAATTATTACAAAAAGGAAGATGCATTAGATGCATACAAGAACACAAATCCTGAAATGACCAATTAACATAATGATATCTATATATCTATATATCTATATATCTGTATATCTGTACATCTGTATATCTATATATCTCTATATCTATATATATAAAAGCCTACGTGACCATTATGACCAAATGACCAGACGACTGGAAGGACTGGTCGACCAATCACTATGAGATGCACTGACCACCAGGGGGCAGATGTTCAATGCAGGAGCTGCCCCCTGGTGGTCAGTGCACTCCCACAGCCAACCTCCTGCAGCCGGCCAACCTCCTATGGTCCCGGCTGACCAACCTCCCGCAGTTCCTCCCCCCGGCCAGCCCCAATCACCAGCTAAGCCTAGGGGCCCCATTCGTGCACAAATTCTTGCACTGGGCCTCTAATGAAGAAATAAACACAAGTAATTATATTTAGGCTCAAAAAATAACTGCACAAACATAACTTAAGAGGTCTATTCTAACAGCTTTTTCAAATGAACTTGGGCTTTTTAGGTTATAGCAAGCACAGATGAGTCCCTGGGTGACAAAGGCAGACCCAGTCACAGGCTAAGTGTTACATCTCATCTCTCCTAAACTCTGCACTGTAAAACTGTATCTATAGTATTTTCTTTAACACTGGATACTGTGTTTTAGGGGGTTTGAGATAAAATTCTGGAAAAGTATGAGCACTCTCAGGATGATGGAAAGTCTGGAAACCATGTTATATAAAGAACAGTGACAGGAACTGGGGATATTTATCCCAGGGAACAAGAAGATAAATCACGTAAATGCTGCATGATGCTTGCTGCCTTCTCTATGTGGAGGGCTGTAATACCATAAGAGAATTACAACTTAACTTACTCTTTATCATCACAGAGGAAAGAACTCTAACCAATGAGAGTGGATTCCAGAGAACCAGATTTTGATGAATACATGATAGGCTTTCTAACAGTGTCAGCTATTCAAATAATAGATGGAGATATCTTGTTAGGAGGGAGACATCCTTGATGTTAGAAGTTACTCAGCAGAGATGAGGGAACCACTTGGCAATGGCTGAAAGCTAATTTTGAAGGCCTCCTTCAACTCTAGTACAGTCATCTATGACACTGTGCCTGATAAGGGAAGTGAAGGAAGCAGATAAATCAAAAATAACTCCTAGCTTTTGAGGCTACAGGCTTTGGAGGAGGTGATATAACAGATAAGTAGAGTAGAAGAGCTCTTTGGGAGGGTAGATGGGACTTAACCTTAAGGAAGTGGTGAAGCTCAAATGGTATTAAGAACATCAACTGAAGTGGTTTTGAATTCAGTTAACGTTTTTGTTTTGTTTTGTTTTTCTGGTCCTGACACTGCTCACTGGCTAAAGAATACTAAATTTCATTTCATTCATTATGAAGATAAAGAGGAAGGAGAGGGAGAAAGATCTAATATTCACTGAGTTATTCCTGGGCTATAGATAGATCATCAAATTTAAACTTCTGAACATCTATACAGTGTAGTGTTATTTTATTCCTTTTATAGATGAGGAAACTAAAGTCAGAGAAATTAGTAATTTGTCCAAGATTAAACACTAAATTTATTGTATTCCAAAAGACAATAGCCATAATAAAGGGAATATATGAAAAGCTATTGTATCACCATTATCACAAAAGAAATCAAACTGTTTTAATTATGTGCACACTAGTATCAAGCGAGAGGTCTTTAGGCTTAGCACCTATGCATATAAAATGCATTTGGAATAACACGATGGAAATCATTCAGATCAAGGATTCTGAGTAAGTTTCTTTAGTACTGAAAAGCAGGTTGCATCTAAAACTGTTATAATAGAAATAAAAAAGATACAGTACAGTTGCATAGCCTATTGCTACATTTTCTATAAAGAAATAACAAATCTAGTTATCATAGCTAGTGGAATAAATAGACTTTCTGATAATGGAAAAATATCCATTATCATAAAATGGTAAGTATTACTATTCACAATTTATAAGTTCATAAATTAATAAACTCTCATTTATCTGAATAAAGCTCAATAACTACACTGTTTAAAATAGAGACTTACACATATGTAATATCTTAATCAATAAAGAAATTGAAAGTAAAAAAATAAAATATAAAATAGAGACTTATACCTATTTATAAGGATGGCTTTCAAATTCCTCAAGTTATAAATTATTAAAGACCTGTGTTGCATTTAATAATATCTATATATTTAATATATATATAAAATCTTTGAAAACTATTTACTTATTTAACTTGATATAAATCAACCAAATATTAATTTTCTCTTTCTCTTAAAATTTATATATATATGCTGGATAAAGAGCACTTGCCACCTTTGACTAGGAGCCAATGGTTAGAGACTCTAGAAGACAATATTAGATCCTAGATTCCAGTAATATTTTGTTGTCATTTATGTTCACATACAATAATAATTTAACTTAGTACCAGTCAACCTTAAAAAATATGTGGGTAAATACATTGTTTATACATAAGTTACAGCTATTTAACTTAATCTGGTTTTATAGAAAATTTCCATTTTAATGGCTAAAACTAAGATTTTACATATAACTTGAAATGCAAAGATTTGAGATAAAATAACTTGACATTTTCCCTAATAAAACTAAATCTGTGTGGTCTATGGTTACAAATGTCACTATACAAATGTTTCAAAATAATAAGATGAAAATAGACAATGTTATTTCATGTGCCGCTTGAATACCTTATTGACGAGGACGATAACTTTTCCCAGTTCAGCTGCTTTTCTCTTCTTGTCCAAGTGATCCTTGGCAATGTAAACGGCCACTCTGGTTTTCCCGCTCCCTGTAGGGAGGCATATAATGATATTCTTTCCCTCCAAAGCTGGCTGGGCAACTTCCATTTGATACGGCCTGAGATTCAGTTCTGGCTCTGGGGATGCTCTTTCTGCCTTTTTCTCTTCATCTGAAAAAGGTGAAAAGAAAGAAAAATAAGAAAAATCCTATCTAATAAAAGCCTAATATTCTAAGTGTCCAGTTGTCCGGTCATCCACTCAACCAATCAAAGCATAATATGCTAATGATATCCTAAGGCCACTCAACTGCTTGCTATGATGTGCACTGACCATCAGGGGGCAGATGCTCCTACTGGTAGGTTCGTTTGCTGCTGGGGTCCGGCCGATCAGGACTGGGCAAGATGGGCTGGACATGCCCTGGAGCCCTTCTGTGGTCCTTCCCCAGCTGGCCAACCTCCCACGTCCCTCCCTGGCCCCAGTCGTGCACCAGTGGAGCCCCTCCACCTGGCCTGCACCCTCTTGCAATCCAGGACCCTTCAAGGGATTTCGGAGAGCCTGTTTGGCCTGATTCCATAAGCCAGGCTGAGGGACCCTACTGGTGCACAAATTCATGCACAGGGCCTCTAATAAATAAATAAAGGAATGGGCAACAAAATGACTAAGGCTAAGAAGCCCTCATACTGAACAGAGGTCTCTGTGTTTAAATTGCTTTTCATGTATGGTCCAAACTAATTCATTTTCTATTTTCTGTACCACATGGGCAACAGCTCTGTTTGTATTTTCAGGTTGCAGTCCAGGCCCTCTGTCCTGGGGTGCAGAGGGAGTGAATTAACAGGGCAGAGGACTGGAAAGGGGCAACATGCGGAGTCAAGGACAAAGTACAGAAAGGTGCAATAGTGGCAGTTATGGTTCTTAATGCTTCACACTTCCCATCTCTTTGTTGGGCCATTATGCCTTGCGTGTTTCTCTCAGGTCTTAGGAAGCACCTAAAATCAAGAGGACCGGGTAGGTGGGAACCATCAGTTCTCCTTATTCTGTATCCCCCTTACTTTTTATTGCAAAAAGATATTATAGCTGAAGCTACTTCCCTTCATTTGAAAAACTTTGTTTGACAACCAAACACCCAAAAGCCTGCACATTGATCTATCCACTTATCTGTCTATCTCAAATATCTAAAAATGGCAGCCTGGCCAGCGTGGCTCAGTAGTTGAGCATCAACCTATGAACTAGGAGGTCACAGTTCAATTCCCGGTCAGGGTACATGCCCAGGTTGTGGGCTCAATGTAGGGCATGCAGGAGACAGACGATCACTGATTCTTTATCATCATTGATGTTTCTATATCCCTCTCCTTTTCCCTTCCTTTCTGAAATCAATAAAATATATATTTAAAAAATATGTAAATAAAATAAAAAATGGCCCAAAAAGGTCAAATTTTTGGCATTTGAACCAACCAAATTAAACAGAATCAATATTTATGCAGAAAGGGAAAAATTCATTCCATATAGCCTTTAATTTATAAGTTTTCATTGAATGACAAAAAAATGTGTTAGTTTAAACTGCACTGTGACTAATTTTGTTATTAATTTTGAATTGTGCTCTTTATTGCTTCTTTATTGTGTATGTCTCCACATATTCCTATTCTCTTAAAACTCAAAGCACAATAAACTTTAATGAAATTCTAATTAACATTTCTAAATTTAAAATACCGATAAAGTAAGTACTAACACACATGGATTTTATAAACATTTAGATAAAATTATTATAGCATATCTCGGTTTAAATATGTTTTGTTTAGAAGTGACCATATTTATCCATATTAGCAGGGGAAAAAGATCTAAAAATGTATAACTTATCAGGTGGAATGCAGGAAAGTAAATATTATATCAATTTAAAAGCCTAACTTATGCTTTATGTAAGCATAAGAAAAAAAATGACATGACAGCAATTATCAGTATTTTGTGACACATGAAGTGTTCTTTCTCTTATCGATGATCACAATAAAACTAAGCTAACATAATCCCATTAACTTCAAAAAGGTTGCTGATGGTTCCATTTCGGCAAAGGGATGATTCCACTCAACTGCGTTTTATCTTGTTGTGATAGGACCATCTGAACAGGTAGGAAAATTCACACCAAACACCACTTAGCAAGAGTCATCTACTAACCTGGCAGGAAATTTGCCTTCTGTATGGATGAGTAAACACAGATGCAATATATTTAAGATATCATTGGATCAGCTGCTGATTCATCTAATATGATTTTCAGAAAAAATCTTTCAAAATCACCAATATTAAAAATATTCATTTACAAGTTTTCTCCCCATGCTACTTTTGAACTCTACATCAATTTTAGTATTTCATCTTCTATTATATTTATGAAAGGCTCAAATTTATTTAAGGATATCATTACTTCTCCTAAATGGCTTTTATAGATTATCAAAATATTAATATTCCACCCATATTATGAGCATTTATCACATAACTTTTCTAAAAGAGCCACAATATTTGAAAAGGAAGATGTATTTTAAATTATGTTTAACACCACCATCCAGAAATTTACTCTAGCAAAATTGCTCTTTGAGCTAGGAAGTTTGTCAAATGATATTAGAAAATTCCCCCTTTTTTTAAATTTCACTTTAGGTATACTTTTGCATAGATTTAAAAAATAATAATAAAATTCTGCATGCACTTTTTTAAATCATTATTTCCCCCTTTTGCTTTTCATGCTTATTCGAAAAATCTTGGGTAACAAAAATTTAAAAGAAAACCTTAGAGAAATTTCCAGAGTCTCTTCCTGAGGAATCTAAAACTAAATCAAGTGCATAAAACATCAATATCACTTATGCATATTAATATTGTACTAATAAATTTTAGAAGACTTAGACAACAGAAAGGGCTGGCACATTCAAATTTAAGTCTAGAATCAAAGTATGACATTTCACTGCTATTTAACTAGTCATGCACCATTAATTCATTCTGCAGTAATTATTTATTGGGTGCCTATTATATTCATGTGATCTCAAGAATACAGTCCTTGTCCTTGAGGAATTTAGAGTCTAGGGCACTGTACTGCTGCCACAAAAAATATCCGGCTATTAGATAGATAGTTTAATAATCTTCCACATTCTTTTATTCAAGTCTAAGAAACTTGATGGGTGTCCTCAAGTTTAACAGAGAAGTAAAGAGTGAATATGGAAAAAATTAGACTTGGATTCACTGTGAAAATAGTATCCAAAGAAAAAGGGCTGGGTGAGTGCTAAATAGTCAACCTGATTCTTGCCTTATCACATCCTCTGACATAGGGATAGAAGAATTTATCCACATAAGCAATAAAAAGAGAAATCTTTTTCTGTCACCAGAAGGAGAGAACTGGACTGGTGTCAATGAGCCAGGAGCCAATTTCCTTTATAAAAAAAAAAAATGTTTGGGTTTTGTTTGTTTGTTGTTGGTTTCTTTTTGGCTCTCTTTGAAAAGAAAAATCCATTAAATGCAATAATAAAAATGGTGTTCAAAATATGCACAGGTTTTGAATTACTTTGCACCCTTCCTCTACAACAAATACTGATTAAGGACCTTAAAATTATACTGTTCGTATAAATGGTCAAAAAATGAAATAAAATAGGGCTTAAATAATAACATTCTATTGGAACTACACCATGTGGCAAATTTTATTCTCACATTGATTTTGACAGCTGAGTTATTCTTGGAGAGAAAAGGTCTGTCACTGCATGTGTTTGAAATTGAAAAAGTACTCCTTTACCTATAGTATATAACCACAGAAACATGCCATTCCAGCTGGACAAATATTAATAGGTATTACCTTGAAATAGTAAGGAAACACTTTCTACATATCAGGCCAATGTGTATTCCAAAAAAAAATTTGCTACCTTGTGTTAAGCAGTATAGCTCTCTGAAAATGAGAAACAGAACAACAAAATGCCTCCCATAGTATAATTAGTATATTAAAACTTAAAAAGCATCGCTAATTATCTTTTGCTATAGCATAATACTTCACAAAGAAACATGTTATGATATCGGGTCTTGTCCATGATCCTTATGGCCCATTATGCAACCTTTGAAAATGGACAAAGGACAAGTGGAAGAACATCCCTTTGATGTCAGCCCCAAAGGTGAAAATAGAATCCCAAACATTGTAATTACCGCTTTTCAGTGATTCCATGTGTGTTTAACAATTAGCAATTCATCCAAACCTTTTTTAAAAATTGATTTCTAGATCATCCTATCTCATGTGCTTAAGGGAAAAGATGTTCATAATTTTATAATTTCAGAATTCTACTACCCATTATGCAAAGCAATTCTTTGTCCTAAGCACTGACCCCATCTAAAACGTCAATGGGTAGCCTTTGAAAATGTGTTTGTCTTCACATGTATTTGCCTTTGAAAATGTATTTGCTTTTTAAAAGTAGGTTGCATTTAGATTTATCACGTCTTTCATGCCACACTGAGCACTGAAAAGCAGTAAACAGTTACATTTGCTAACAGCTCAAACTAGACAAAATGCCCTGCACAGAGAGGATGGCCATGGAATATTTACTGAATGAATGACTACTCTTGAAAAGCCCTCACATAGACAAACAAAAATTAGGATGAGTTCCAGAAGTTTAAAACTACCCATAAAATGCTACATATTAGCTAGATTATATTTTGAATTCTAGAATCAATAGCATTTAATTTAAAAATCATAATTAAATTAAACAATTGTATAATAGGTATACAAAAAACTAGATATAATCCACAGAAATAAGCACATGGCAAGAACTTTGTAAACACTGACTGAATTGAACAGAAAATGAATTAACCCTTTTTAGTTAAAGTTAATGTTATGACTGACATTTGATGAATTGGGTTTCCTCAAACCAACTTGTTTGTGACAAGGGATTCAGAAGTCTTATTGAGAGAAAGGACACGTAAATAAAAGAAGTGATACACTTCAATTTGGAAGTCTTTTAGGGCAGCAGAACATCCTTATGTAAATTATTTTGACCCTTTAGACCTATTGTGGACCTAAATTTCTATAATTCTTCTAAGAATGCAGGACAATCTGAAGTACACAGTATTTTCTAAGTGTTTACTACAACTCAATCACAAAACAAATAAAGATTAACGTAATTTGTTTCTTAATTTGCCAATTCTCTACTGCTTCTTAGCTGGCTACATTGCAAAGCATTTTTAAAAAATTTCTTATTTTTAATGATGATTTATTTTAAACATATAGCCAAATTTAGAAAGGTGTGTAACAGACATCGAGGGCCCATCACCCATTTTGAAAAGATGTTAACATTTTAGCTCAGTAATAATAATGGAAATACACATTCAAAGAACAGGAAGAAGAGATTTGAAACTGATCAGATGTACAAAAGTTAGGAAATCTGACAACAGAAAGTGTTGCCCACGTGTGCTGAGACACTTATTTACTGCTGGGGGTGCATTCAGCTAATGCGGAGAGCAATTTGGGAAACACCTAGCAAAATTCTCATTTAGTGACAAAAACATTTGCAAACTCTACTCCTATGCAAGAGATATCCATACAAATTGGAACTATTTAGCTGCATATGTAATTTCTAGTTCTTCATTTAAAGAAGAACCCTTAAAGTTTTTATTTAAAATGTATTTTAATAAGAAAAAAGAATAGGGTTTTGGAATACATGTACCAAATTGCATACAGGATTTAAGACAGTGAAATTAATTGAAACAGATTTCATAAATAAACTAGATAACACGATTCTATGGAATGTGGCATATGCCAGACCAAAAAGCTATGCACTAGATCAAAATTAGAGAGCTTGATGCTAAGACTTTTGTAAGTTGTACTTTTAAAGGATGTGAATGGCAAAGTTCCAGAACTCCAACTGTAGAAAAGAATTGCTTTAATTGCATAAATACATTAGGGAGGGTATGAACAACCCCCATGCTTTCCACTATATGGTGTCTTATTTCACACTTGTTAAGGTTTACACAACAGTGAGGCAGTACCTGAATCACTTCCCATGGTGCCTGAATCACTGCCCATGTTGCTGTTATGTCCAAGACTTTCATCTAAGCAGTTGACACTTCCTTCTGCCAAACTTGTGTCTGATTCTGCAAAGGAAAACATTTTAAAATATTTTTAAAATATTTCTGAGAATAAACATATTTTAACTACACACCTCTACAGCACACAGTACATACAGTTCAGTGCAAGTAAGAAAGGCACACCCAGATAATTATGCACAAAAGGTAAGAGTTTCTGGCAAGCTGCATTTAAACACTCCGCTGTGGATGAGAAGCTGCGGGTAGTGAATCGAGTACATGTATCTACTTAAAGTACCATACATCCAATATGAGAGCTCATGCAAATTGGTAAGGATTTATGATTTTTGTCAGCCCCCCTGCATGTAAATTTTGTCCAAGAAAACATCTAGGCTTGACAATGTCATTTAAACAAAAAATATATTATATAGAAACCATTGAGTTATTTTCACGTAAAATGGTAGGTAATGAATAAAGTAGAAAATTTAATAAAGAAGGTGGATTTCCTCGTTAGTTATGGAAACAACAGTTCAGTAACAAACATACCTGTAATATATTAAAAACAATTGGCTCAGGAAGAATATCATTAAAGCCTGGCACTGCAGTTGTACTGGAGCTTATGTGAGGTGGCAAATAATTTTTTTTTTACTGTAATTAAACTATCCTTCTGTGAACGGGTCGCAGTTAATGTGAGTGGCAAGGGCACACCATTCATGTGTTAACCCCAATTTTCTGTGTTTAGTAATTAGTATCAATTCTGTTTGGAAATCTTTCCAAGGGAAGACTTCCCTCCTTACAGTTTATTTCCAAGGATGTTTGCAGTCCAGTCCTCAAGGATCAGAACTATTGCTAAACTGATAACAGTAAATGAAAGATGGTCGCAAATGTTGGCTTTGGCATCCGAGGGATCTGTGACATTTGCTGTTGCGGTTGTGCGATGCCTGACTTCCTCTATTTAAAATGAGGCTAGTACAGTTCCCCTCATCGGGCAGGATAGTCATGCAATAATGTAGGTACAGTCAGCTCTGAGCACTTAAGCTTAATTCTGATGATTGGAAAATGAAATAAAATTCAAGCATTTGGCATATTTCTAGGGCAAGAGTTTCATTTAATAATGTTCTTATAATTAATAACATTTACTAATACTTATAATTGTTAGATAACTATTATTTCATGCTAAAGCTGCTAAATTCACCAAATAAATTATGTATATTAATGTAGTCTTTATCCATGGAAAGTGATGTGGGCTGGAAATAGAAATGGGTGAAAAATATACACATAGCACGTTATTGACAAAACTTCTCTGGAAGGAGACAATATACAACTCTCTAAAACTACAGGTACCTTCTCTCACTTTAGCCGTTTATATGTTTAAGGTCAGGTGTCCAATTATATTTACACACTGGAAGTGACTCTTTTTAGGTATATAGTTTGACAAATGTATACAGTTCGTCACCACCATCACAGTCAAGATTTTTCTATCATCTATAAAGACCCCTCACCCTCCTTTGTAGTCAGCTCCCTCCTGCTGTCTGTCCCCTGGCAGTCACTCACTTGGTTTCTGACCCTATACTTTTGTCTTTCCAAAATATCATATAAATAGATTGATAGAATGTGTAGCCTTTATGTTTGGCTTTAACTCAGCGTAGGCAGTTCTAGATGTATCCATGTTGTTCTCTCTATCAGTAATTTGTGCCTTTTTATCGCCGACTAGTATTCCATTGGGCATCTGTGACATCTATGGCCTCCCCCTGGCAACCGGGGTAAGTCTGTTTAGCTTAGGAAAGAATGGAATTATAGCTGGTGCCAATCAGATATGTGAGGTATCTCTCTTCAAAGTTAAGAGAATGCTATTAAGAAATTTGTAGAAAAATTCTCAATGGACACACATACTGAGGTGTAAAATGAGATGAGGAAAATACCATTGCAAGGATAACTCCCAATCTTAGATGTATAGACCAAGATTTTAGAGACAAAAAAAAATTAATTTTGACATGCTTTTCATATGCTGTATTAAATGTGGTACTGAGACCTGAAAACAATACCCCAAATACGGATAAATACTAATAAATATTATCTACAATCTAACACTGTAGTTTTAAGTTTCCAACTAAGTGTAATCCAAATGGAAATTATATTTTATTTCTCTTTTGTTTTCTAATCACTAACAGTTAAACCATAAACTTAAACCTGCTCCATGTAAGTATATAGTCAAGATTACCCCCAAGCTTTGTTCTAACATGCATACGATTGGGGGAACCTATTTAATGCAATGCATGCAAATAATTAGTGAATATTAAAGACAGCTTCTACCCCAAATAGGGTATGATTAATTAAGTTTGCTATTTGGATCATTTTCATCTAATCAATAAATCTGGAATGTGCCACTGAACTTTGTGCTTTCACAGATGTAATATAAATTACATTTTAAACTCTCAGCATCCTGTGTGGTACATACCCATTATCACCTCCACGTTCTAGGTGAGAAACCACAGCTCAGAGAGGCTCGATCAGTGATTCAGATCACACAGCTAGAAGAGGGCAGAGCTGGAAGTCCCATCATCTGATTCTATGTCCAGTATCCCAGTGCCTTTACCCAACACGAGGCACGGCTGATAATCTATGCGACGCTTCGTAAAGAAGCAGACAATCCTGTAGCCATAATTCTAAGTGCAGTAAAGTTGTTCTTTAAGCATCTAGACATTTCCACTGTAATGTCAAATTTTCTATCAATCTTGAAACAGCTTGTCTTTGCAAGAAAAGTTGGATTTTTTATTTTGTTAATATTTCTGATTTCATCCATAGACTTTTGTTTACATTTAAATATCCACACTTATGTTGAAACTATTTTCTGCACACAAATAAAAGAATATTTGTATCCTCTTGACAAAATTAATTGCAATAATTCTGCTAGAGATCATATGAAAGTGAATGTGAATATCAGAGGTCCATTTGTCATTTTAAGGATATATGTTTCCAGTTTCTCAGTACAAAATTAAGTCTGTTTCCTAGACTGCAAATGCTTATGCACTTGACATATTTTTATTTAATAGAAATATAAGTACTCTAGGAAATAACTTTAACAATAGAAGAAAGTATATTGTATCTCCTATAACATTGAAAATATCTTCTCTAGATATTTTATTTTCTTCCTGTATTCATTTTTAAAAGTTATGTTATACGCGCACATGCGCATGTGCGCGCACACACACACACACACACACACACACACACCAAAAAGCCAGATCAAGAAAGTGCTTAAGTGATACCAAAATTAAACCAACCTATTGAGTTTATAAGCCAAGAATTCCTGCAATGGACTATATAGAAATATCGTGTTTCACTCTGTACTTTTCACAGTATGTCAATCTGAACTGATGTCCTAATGGAAAAAGTCATGTGTCTATGATTTTAAAATAGATCAGATAAAATCAAGTCAATTGGAGACTGAGGGTTCCCATGAAAAGAGTACATGCTATGGAGTCAGACAGATTGGTCTCCAGACCTACTCTCAGCCACTGCTAACAAGTGATTTAACCTTTTAAAAATTTTGCAATACAAATAGTAGTTTCTACTTTCTCATTTATTGTGAGAATTTATCAAAAAATAAATCATGAAGAGAAACATCTGAAATTCTTGTGAAGTTGCAGCTTAAAGAGGCTTTGAATATTGTAGTTTTATTACATAATACATTTAGTTAACTTTTATGCAGGTCTTATTTCCTCTAGCAAAAAATACCAAAGCTAGTTATGAAACAGATCAGAAAATGCTGGTTATTTCTGTTAAAGAATAGCAGTTATTCATATCAAATGGTATGGAAATGAAGTAAAATGTTACTCATCCAGTTAAAAGATGGGATTTTTCTGTAATAATTTTGTAAACAACACAAGAAAGAACAGCTTTGCTTACGGCGATAGAGTCTACGACCAGTCCATAAGCCATAAGAAAAACTGCTTCTTTGCAAGCAGAACTTGAACATTTTTATTACTAATAAGGCAGAAATATTAACTGGAATCTGATAAATTTCACATTTAACGTCCTCTGGACCTTAAGTACTTTGAAAATATTTAAAACCCATTTAGAAACCAAATATTTTGAAGTTAAAAAAAAATTCTATTGAAAAGCTCTTGACTGAAGGCCTTTTTAGAGCTATTTCAATGTAAAGTCCGCCCTCTGCTGGAAAACGCTATTATAACAATTTGTTGTCAAGGAACATTGTGTTTTCAGCCTAAAACCTAAGTCTCATTAGGTAAGATACAAAGTACTTCTCACTTCTCCTCCTACAGGTGGTGCCCCTCCTGTTCTCAGCCTCGATGCACTTCTCAGTCCACAGACTATTCTCTCCCACCGCTGGCCTCCGGCGTCCTGCATTCTCTTTGTTGGGATGAGGTTTTGCATCACAGCAGGAAGCGGTGCAAGGAGCCCTGTGCCCACCGAGGAAGGTCACCAACAGACCCCGTTCTCCTGAGAGGCAGTGCTGCCGGGTCTCCAAACAGTCTAGCTCCACTTGTCACGGTAACTTTATATCTCTCCTAGTTCTGACCCTCTGATGCATGTTCGCTTCAGGTCCTTAGCCATTCCTACTTCCCTCCAGTGGCCTCACCCCGCAGCCTAGCCGTCCAAGACCACCCCTAAGCCCTCCGACATGTGCACACAGGGGCCCTCACACAGAGCCAGCATGGACCTCTGGAGTGTGCTTAACTTTCTTGCTACTAATAATACATATTTCCTTTTCTTTTGACATAATCTTTTTTGAGAGGAAATAGATGACTTTTATTTTCAGCTAGCTCCATGTATATGGATGTGTGCGTGAGTGCACACACACACACACACACACACACACACACACACGCTCACATTTGGGTCTGTCAGATTTTGCTCTCCATGCCAGGGAACATGTGTTCCCACAGAATGGAGAGAAGCCACCTCCACCCACCTTGCATATTCTCTCCTGGATCCAAGCTTCTAGGAAATGAGTTTCCCAAAGAGAAAGAGAGAGAAAAACACACATACAAAAAAAAACTCTCCTAGAACCTTAGCCCGCATGGCTGTCCGAGGAGCTCCTTGCT